ACAAAATAATCAATACAGTTAATTTACTCGAAATTTTTTATCTTTTAAAAAATTTGAAATTTCATTTGCTACTAAATGATCTTCAGGATCATAAATTAAATAGACATGATCACTTTTTCCCTTGGTTTTTTTAGCTTCATAATGCCATTGAGGTCGACTTTGTCGTTCACGATGAATTGTTTCTAAGAAGAAAACAAAAAAACAAAAATCATAAATAAACAAAAGAAAATAAAAGTCATTTACTTACGTATAACATGTTCAATTAATATTTGTCGAACTTTACGATTATTCATTTGAAAATAATCTTTTAATTCATTTTCAGTACATGCTAATAATAAATAACCATCGATTTGTTTTTCAGAAAATAAATCTCGACTTGTTTGTGCAACACCAATACGAGTTAGAAATAATTGAATATCTTTTGATGTCCAAGTACATAATTGTTTAAATTCTTCTTCATCGATTTTATGTTCTTGTGGTGTTAAATTATTTTGAATAGAAGAAAATTGTTTATATGGTAATAATTTTATTAATAATTGTTTTAAAATCATTGATATACGTTCATCAACTTCTAACATCGTTTCTGTTTTATTAAAAGCATGAAAAAAATCTGCTCGCGAACGTAAATATGTAAAATCATGACATTCGTCTAAAAAAATAACAAATAAACCATAAACAGTTGTTGTGCCTGATAAAATTTTTCTATCAAGTATAGCTTTTGATTCAATTGTCATCAAACGTTGATGTTGACATGCATTTGATAATATCAACAGACTACCAAGTGATAAATCAATTGCCTCAAGACGATCAGCAAACCAAGTAGCCGACTATATATCAAAAACAAAGAAAAAAGAAAAATCAATTCAAAAAAACAAAAAACTCAAAATCAAATTAAATGTTTACTTTATCAGGATGTATTCCTTGATGATGATCAAACCATATAACACCTTCACCTAAACCATTTTCTACGAGTTGTTGATAAAGTTTAACAACAAAATATCGTTCAATAAAACCAGTTTGATTAGAATATGATAAATAGATCGGTGGTATTGAACGATGATGTATACGTGTTGTTATGGATTCTTCCAAAGCCATCAATTTTTAGTCCTCTTTTCTTTTTTCTTTTTTTGTAGTTACTACAATCTTTTTTTATATTAACTGAAAAAAAAAGAAATCATTGAA